TCGTCCAAATCGAGCAAAATCGCGCTCCGGTGCCGAACATCCTGAAAATTTCGAACAAAAACGCGGTCTCGTATGGAGCATCCTGAAAATATTGAAGAAAATCGCGCTCCCGTGCGGAGCAGCCTCTAAATTTTGAAGAAAATCACGCTCCCGTGCGGAATATCCTCTAAATTTTGAAGAAAATCACGCTCCCGTACGAGGCATGCTGAAAAATTTGAAGAAAATCGCGTTCCGGCGCGGAACATCCTCAAAATTTCGTCGTTCTTGTATTCAAAATCGTATTCTCGTTCGAATATCTTGAAAATTTTGATGAAAATCGCGCTCCTATGCGGAGCATCCTCAAAATTTCATCGATTCTTCGTTCAAAATCGCGTTTCCGTGCGGAATATCCTGAAAATCTTAAAGAAAATCATAATGCCGTCCGGGCATTCTGAAAATTTCGTTGATTATTCGTTCAAAATCGCGTTCCCTTACGGAATATCCTCGAAATTCGGTCGATATTTCATTCATATATATGAGATTATATTTATATAGATATCTATATATATCTATATATATATTTATATATATATAGATGATATTATATATATATAGATATATTCCCACGACGGAAAATTCTCCGCTTTCAAGATTAGAGTAATTGCCTCTTTTCCTTCAAATTCTCCATTTTTACGATTAGATTCTTTCTCTCTTGTATTTCAAAATTATCTATTTTTATGATTGGAATTTTTGCCCCTTAATCATTCTCCGCTATAATGATTAGATTCTTCTCCTCTTGCTCTTGAAAATTCTGCGTTTTTACGGATAGATTATTTGCCCCTTTCCCTTCAAATTCCCCGCTTTTACGATTAGGGTGATACCTTATCCTTCAAATTCTCCGTTTTCATATTTAGATTATTTATCCCTGATCCTTCAAATTCTCCGCTTTCATGCTTAGATGTTTTTCCGCTTGTTCTTCAGAATTCTCCGTTTTTACGGTTAGGCTATTTGCTCCCTAGCCTTCAAATTCATCTCCCACAATCTCCAATCGTAAGGGATACCCCCCTCCTAAGATTTGCCAGGGAAACAAGTCTCCAAATCTCAAATCGCAAGGAGTGCCCCTATGATTTTTCAGGAAATCAAATCCCCAATTCCCAAATCCCAAATGATGTCCCCCTAGGATTTTTCCAAAGAATCAAATTTCCAAATCTTAAATTGCAAGGGAGGTCCCTCTAATCAAATCCCCGAATCTCAGATGGCAAGGGAGATGTCACTAAATTTTCAGAGAATCATCTCCCCTGATATCGTCTCGATCTCTTATTCTTCTTTTCTTCGGCAGACGACAGCATCCAAATATTATCTCATTTAGATTAGATATAAATTATATAAATTATATAGGCATTCTCCGATCTCTTATTCTTATCTTTCAATCTATGAATCTATCTATCAAATGATCTGAAAAGGGAAATCGATCTAGCAGTCTATCAATCTTTCAATCAAATAATCTATCGAAGAGATTGAAGGAAGGTCGATCTTAGCATATATCGATCTCTCGATTTATAGATCTCATAATCATTCAATTTCATCAATCTCTCTAATCGTCGATTTATCTATATATCAATTTATCGATCTGATGATCTATCGGTCATTGAATTTATCGATTTCATATTTATAGAATATAATTGCTAGAATTTCTCAAATTCTCTATCTAATGCTATATCGATCTATCAAATCTAATCAATGAAAATCTCATTTCCTTGAGAAGAAAATCTTTGAAAAATCATATTTTCAATATATATATATTCAGATTGATTTCTAATATATTATAGAATTGAGAGAAAAGTTTGATCTATATATTCTCCAGAAGATCATATTGAGAGAAGGGAAGAAGAATAAAGATATATGAATATCAGAGAGAATCGTGAATTCAAATCTGAAGAATAGGATGAAGAATTCTCAGATACGGAAATAGAGGAAAGATATACGATTATTGATAGATATAAAAAAATGATCTCCTCAAAAAGGAAGAAAGCAATAATAATAAATAGAAAATATATTGTCTTTATAAAATATCAATCGTATAGATTAGGAATCTTTGTATCCGAATAGATTTAGATATATGATTATTCGTCTCTCTAATCGTCAATCAGATAAAAGGATTAGAAATTGAGAGGCAGAAGATAGCAATATTAGGACGACGTATTTTATTTTCAATTCTCATCTCTTGATAAAGATTTCTCTAATAAGATATCGAAGATCTATAATATCAAAATGAAGAAGAAGATATAAGATATTATATATCATTGATATATCATGAGATCAAGATATAAAATTTAGATCAAGAGATAAGATAAGATTAAAGAGAAGAGAGAATAGAATTCCAAAATTTCGATCTATCATATTTCTTATCTAATAGGTTTCTTATCTATAGAAGATGATGAAGATATGATCAAGAAATATCTTATTCTTTCTCGATTAATTATTCGTATTCGATAGAATTTCTATTATCGAAAATAAATATTATCATCTATGGATATGAAAAATAGAAATATCATATCAAGATATCTATTGAAAGATTATGATATTCAAATCTTATTATCCTGATCATAAATCATATTCTGATCTGATCCTTCTTGAAGATTTAGATATCCCAAATTTCCAATTCAATTCTATCAATAATATTGATTATAGATCATTCTTCTGAAAGGATTTTCCAAGATCTTATATAGCAGATGATTCCGCATATTGAATAAATATATATTTTTTTCTAGTATTCCCTTCCTAAATCCGTCGTTGTACAAGAAATCAATTATTTTCCTTGCAATATTGCAGATGCGCTACAAGAATATTGATATTCTATTATTGGGCATTCCAAAGATATTCTGCGATTGGGCACTGCAGGGATATTTTTCGATTGGGCCCTGCAGGGATATTTGGCGATTGGGCGCTACAAGTATATTCTGCGATTTTTTGCATTGCAAAGATATTTGGCGGATGAGCATTGGATGCATATATCGTAATAGGTCATTAAAATCAGATTCCAATCGGGCGAGATCAATATCTAATTTAAAGTCGAATAGCTCCGCAACGAGGGAGAGAAAATATAGAAAATCAATGAAAAAGAATAAATTCAGAATCTATAAAATTCTTCGAATTGAAATATAGATCATCGAAATAAGAAAAAATAAATATAATATCCAATTACCAAATTATATCTTATAATTCATTACCCAAAAATTCAATATCCTATAAATTCAAAGAAAGACGAAATCAATAACGAATGAAATAGATTATAATGAAATAATTATGAATTTTTTTTTTCATATTTTCTTGATTATCGTATAAATAATTTATCGATGAAATGAAATCTTTCTTATTCGATATCTATCAGATTCATAGCGAGAATCATTTTCCTCTATAAGAAATAAAATTTTCTATATAAATAAGAAGAGAATAGAATCATATCTTTTCTCATGAGGAGAAATTCTATAAATATAGAAATGAAAGAAAAATCAAAAGAAATAGATTTCCAATATCTATCATCATCTATTATTTCCAATATATCAGAACCCCAGAATCTCATAAATAGATCAATCATAATAGAATGAGAATTTGAGAGATTTTTTTATATATCAATTTTATAAGATGAAATCTTTTAATCAAAATATATTTACCCAATTATAATAAAATTAGCGATAATTTTATCAGATATAATTAGAAAAGAAATCATTTCTCTATCTAAATAATTAAATTTTGAATATGAATATGAGCAACGTCAAAATAGCGAAATAATAGTTAAAATATACGAAAAAATCATCTTAATAATAGAAAAGAAAATATGGGTTTATATTCTCTTATCTCCTATCATAATCAAAAATTAGAATAATTTCTTTTAAAAAAAAAAATCGAAATTCTAAGAATCAAATATATATATAAATATCTATTTCAAATAAAATGAATCTTCTTTTATGAAAAAAAAATTCTCTATAATGAATTTAGAGATTCGTTTATTCAAAATCAAAATAATAATCAGAAAATTCTCCATAATAAATTTCAATTTTGAAAATTCAAAAATATAAGAAATATTTATCATATATTTTATTCAATTCATTTTCATCAAATTTCAAATTCAAAATTCATCTCGTAATTATTAGTCGGATATATTTAAGATCCGAAATTCGAAAATCTTTTTCATATAATCATCAAGAGAATCCGAATCTATTAAATTATCGAATATAGAATCTAAATGCATTAGTTTTATTGAAATCCCTATTCTAAAATCTTACGAATCCAAATCAAAATCATTTCAGCAAACGAAGGAGAAAATCTAATAAAGCCCGAGATTCTCGATATTTAAAAGTCTTCATTAATCTAAGAGATTTGGAGCCCTATAGATTCTCGAATTCAAAAATTAATTAAAAAGAAATCTTTTCAAAATCTTTCCCGTTTCATCACGAAAAAAAAAGATTTAAAAAGAAATCTTTTAAAATCTTTCTCCATTCAACCGCCGAAGAGATCCAGAATCTATTGAATTACCGAATCTGAAATCTGAAGCTGCTAAAATTTATTGAACCCCCCAGGATCCTCAATAATTTTTATTATTTGAAGGTCCTCTTTAATTTGGGAACCTTGACCGGAGGAGAATCTTAAGACTTTAAGATGATATTGAAGAGAAATCTTTTAAAAATCTTTCCTTATTCAAAATCGCCCCAGAGATCCAGAACCTATTGAATTGTTGAATCTAGAACCTGAAACCATTAAATCTTATCAAAATACCTTTTCTATAATCTTACGGATATATGATGAGATAGGAGGAAACGAATCTGAGAATATCCAATCCTCTCGAATTATTCGTCGGGAAATCTGAATTGAGTTGAATTTCAAACTCAAAATTTGACCAGCACATATTCTGGGCCTGTAGACCTCCCGTGAAGATCAAATCGTTATTGCGGGTGCCTTCCGCGGGCCATGCAACTTTACATGCCCTTGCGGGGCGCAATGAATACAGAGGACAGAATCGCTCAGGTGCGAGGAAGCTCTGGTTCCAAATCTTCCACTAATTGATTAATTAGCAAGCCATAGCTCCTGTTCTCATTGTTGGTAGTACCCGTAATGATGACCTCTGGCTTGTTCTCTCCTGGGGCCCAACACCAGACGAAGGCACCGCCGAAGCCTTCATGCCCCCACACAAAGCCTCTGGGCTTGCTTCTAGAGAAAAAACGCTTGAAAAAGCCTTGCTGCTCATCCAAATCTATCCGCATGAGGCCATAGCCATACCAGAAACCAGGGCCCCGCTTGGCTGGAATCCAGGTCATCATTTTTTCCAGCGTCGACCTGCCACCTATGGGAAAGAGCTCTCCCTTTGCAAGCGCTGCCATGAGCTTCTGGAGGTCAGTAGCCGTGGACACGATGCCGCCAGCAGCGAAAGAGTCTGCAGAATGCTGCTCCTTGCCTGTGATCTCAATGGATCCAAAATACCGCTTTGCCAAAGGAGGGGCATCCTTTGGCCTTGTTTCCAAGTAGTTGCAGTATGTGCCTTCCGTGGACATGCCTGCAGGATCGAAGACTCTGCTTCGGAAGATGGCTGGCAAATGGCTCTGCGTAACTGTCTCCAGCACAAGGCCCAGCAGCAAGTAGTTCGTGTCCGCATACGCGAAGGCACGAGCTGAGCCCCTGTCAGTCAACGCGCAGCTGTCCTTCATATCTGCCGCATAGCTGAGCAACTCCCAAATAGACCAACGCTTGTTTGCGTCGGCTTCAAAAGACTTGACAAACGGGCCGGCCCAGTAGTTTGGCAGCCCACCTTAGATCAAATAAGCTCGAGAACCTATCCCCAGCGAGTGATGCATGCTGTCTCCGCAAACCCGCTGAGTGGCTGGCTGGTGTGCTGAAGCAGCTGAGCAATTGTGACGTTGGCAAGGCTGTGCATCAACAACTTTGGCACTTTTTGCTGCACAAGCGTGATCAAGCGACCTTCGGCCACCTCTTCCAAGGATTGGTCCAAACGAAGAAGCCCTTCGTCCACCAGTTGCATGATAGCGGTGGCAGTGACTACCTTGGTAACCGAAGCCACTTCGAAGCTGTCCCCTAAGGAAATGCTCGTGCTATTTCTAGCTCCGTCCAGTGCTCCAGCTGCAGCGGCAAACAGCAAGGACTGGTTCCAGGCAGCGGCAGCCTGTAGCACCACGCCGCCGTAGCGCCCAACACTTCTGGAGGCATGGCTCACAGCCTTCGCTACGCGAGGCAAAGAAAGTCCAGAGGCCACGCTGTCTGTGCCCATCATTTGACTCTCAGGACTTGTCCAAAAACTGCACAGGGTCTCGGAACCAAATCAGTCAGCATTAATCCTTACAGGCAGCGCAAACTCATCCCTGAAGCTCCTTCCCGACTGCCTGGCTCAACATGTCAGACATGAGCTCAGCTAGCGTTATGCGTACTGAGAACTTTTGTTGCGATCTACCTGCAACTGCACTCGCACACAGTCACTCTTTTGGAGCGCCAGGCTGCGTGCTGAAGCTCAAAGCTTCGATTGAGGATGCCTGGCGTAGGTTTCGCCGGCTTGAATGTTTCTCTCAAGCAAGCTATTAACGGCATCAGCTTCTTGGAATATCAGACCGTGCCCCGCATTCTTCAGGGTATGCACTTTTGTCTCGAAGTGATCGGCTATGATAACAGAGTTGTACGGGCGGACCAGGCAATCGTCCGAACCTGTGAGAACAAGCACAGGCACACCAAGGTCTCGCAGCTGCTGGCAGCGTGCCTTACTTACGTGATGCGTCAGAACAGCAAGTGCTTGCTTCAACATAGACTTGGGGTGGACACGACCCGGTGGCCCCTTGCCCTGGGCTTTCAGCTCGGGGGGCACATCCAAACTCATCAGGATAAAGGCCTTGTTCATCCAGCGTTGGTTCTCAACGATCTTACCGTCATGAAGTTCAGATGCACGTGTCTGGCCGAGCCATGCATCTGGAAAGTTGAGCCGCATTGAAGCTTTGCCCATTTCTTTCAGATCTCTGGTGAGCCACCCAGTCGAACGCGCAAAATCAACCAATGCACTTGTGGTCGGGGCAGCCCACAGCACTGAGGCATAAGTTGCAAGCAACGCAACAGAAGCAACCCGCTTCGGAACGGCAATTGCAAGCTCTTGTGCAATCATTCCACCCATGCTGATGCCGATGATGTGAATGTGATCTTGCCACCCTAAGTGATCCAGCACTGCTACTGCATCTTTTGCCATTCGTTCTGTGGTCCATCGCTGCCCTTTCGGCTTGCCTGAATAGCCTGCACCACGATTATCCATTGCACAGACGTGACAAAAGTTTTGGAGATGTGCAATCTGCGGCTTCCACAGCGAATGTGTGCCACCGAGGCCCATCAACAGTATCACCCGAGGGCGATTTCTCAAATCTTCGGTGCTTGCTTCCGGGAAAGTACGGTAGTAAATCTCATATGGAGAACCACTGGACAGAGAAACCTCAACAAACGGCATGGCTCGGAAGGAGGCCGCAATCCTGCTTCTACAGAAGATGAGGTGGTATTAGGACTATCTTGGCATCAAAGCAAGGCCTTAGTCTGAAGTCTGCCCCTCCTGTAACGCTTTTGACTCATGTGACCACAGCTGCTAAGACAAACAAGCTCTTCGTCCCCAACCTGGGTCCACCCGACAGTTAGGCAAGCACCTCCCTTAACCATGATTTGCCCAACATAGTGCCTCCATGCACCATCTTTTGTTGAGGGAAATGGGGGTTGTGGTCGCTGGGGAAAATGATAAAGCGCATGCACAAGGTTGACTTGCATCAGGCTTTCTCCGCACATGCTTTCTCGCGCAGCTGACAGCACCAAGCAACAGTGCACAAGCTGCCTGACTTGAGAGGCCAAAGCCTAGCAGGCAGGACTTGTGAGTTGGCCGCAATCCGATCGTTTCTCTCCAGTGGCCAACGAGATCCCGAAGCGAACGCTGTTGGGCTGTGTCCCCCGCATCCTGACTCGAATCTAAAGGCCGCTTGGGGCTACAGAGGCTACAGCTCGGCTCTTGCAACGGTGCGCTCTCGAGCTTCACGGCCCTTCTTCCCGTGGCGCACAGCTTGAAGAACTTTAACAACTTCTTTCCGGGAATTGGCCAATGCAAGATCTAAGGGCCTTCGAGCTTCGAAATCCATGGCGTTGCTCTGGGCACGCTGCTCCAGCAAATGCTTTGCCACGATGCCATGGCCATGAAGAGCTGCCCAGTGCCTTTTCTGCTGACACGTCTCTGAAGAGAATGTCGTGGGTGTTTTCTCACACGTACAAACAGTGCACAGGCAAGGAAAAACTTCTCAATTTCAGTTCGTAGGGCAATGGTCGCATGCCTCGATCATCGGACTCCTCCGCATCTGCTCTTCTCTTCAGCAGCATGTGTAGCACCTCTAAATGTCCCATGGTCGCTGCAGCAGAGACTGGCCCGCCACCATGGGAATCCTTTTGCCTGTATGATGCCTTGTCCTCGTCTAGCAGCAGGTCTACAACCGCGTGGTGGCCCTGAGTTGCAGCCCACTGCATCGGGGTTGCCCCCTTTGCGTCTCTTTCGGAAGATAAGCGAACTCCTTTCTTTGCAAGTGTCTGAAGCACCTCGCTGTGCCCGCTGAAGGCTGCCAAGAAAGACGGGGTCAAACCCTCACCGTCGCGCTGTTGGCTGTCTGCTCCATGTTCCAATAATGCTGCGACAACATGCTCAAAGCCATGCAGCGCTGCACGATGCAAAGCAGCATGGCCATAGCTACCAGCCGTTGCCGACAGTGCTTCCCGAAGCTCCCAGTTTGAGGATGCCTGCTGCAACACCTGCGTTACCCCAAGCAGGTCTCCACGGTTGGCAGCTCTGATGAGATCAGGCCAGCTCTCTGTATGCCCCTGCGAGCCGACCGCCAAGCTGAAGTTGCTCAAAGTACACGTCGAATGCTCCATGCCTGTTCCAAAATAGAGTACTTCACCGGCGTGCTGCACGCACAGAAATACATTCGAGGGCCAACGCTCTCCTTCCAGGCTTTTTTCGATCATCCCACATGGATCCTCCCAGCCGTGGAACTCAGGCGCGGCCGCCTTCATTCCAAGCCACCATGCCTTGCTCGCAACAAGTCGCATCTCTCGATTTGAGGCTTTGACATTGTCAGGGTTAGATTCTCACCAGTTCTCGTCGGACCTGCAGATGTTTTCGTTTTGTCATTATTGAGGCTCATGCTGAAAGCTACTCTGATTCTGTTCCTTTCGCCTGCCAGGCCTTCACGCCGCTCAGAAGGGCATGCCACGTCTCAGGGTGGGAATCATGAGCTGGCACAGCGCCACCTGCCACTCCCACGGAGAAGATGGGCCGCTCCGCAAAGTCCTTAAAAAGCCTTTTGCGGGATCCTCGCGTTGCCAATCGCCAAGCTCTTCCAAAGGCACCGCGAAGCGTGTCTGAAACGAATATCATGCGCTCTGCACTGCCTGCGGCCACATAGTCCGCTAGCTTGGGAAAGTTGTAGCTGCCCCTGGTGTTGTCGGCGTAGAAGCTTTCATTGCCATGACGTCTCAGCACTTCTGCCTCACCTTACCAGGTTTTGCGCACCGACGAAAAGCCATGAGCCCTGAGCCCTGAGCCACGACTTAAAAATCAAGCAAAAAGTGTTGCACCGGCATCTACAAAAACTCCGGCTTGCACTTGGCGCTTTGCCATGTGAGACTCTGCAATGCGTCCAAGGTAGTCGTTCGCAACAGGTGCGTGCGGAAGGAAAACCAATGGGGTATTTCTTTCTGGGTTTTGAAGCCAAGGATTTCTGCCCCATGTTTCAAGAGCTGTACTGCAAGTGCAAGGCAGTTGCAGTACAGTGTGGTTGTTTCATTGCTCTGTGAAATGTGCTTCCATGTCACTCCATGACAGCAGTTCGCTGTTCGTGAACAAGCCTGTCAGAAGGACACCTTGCGAGCCTCTCCATTTCGCGAAAGTTGTCCGGGCCATGCCACGTGCTTCCAAACGCGGCACATCGCATCGACCAAGGATCGCTTCTAAAGCCGGCATGCCTGTAAAACATGAGCGAGCTCCATCAAACGGTCCGTGCAAAGACCCAGTTTTCGCTCATAGGACAGGTGCTTGAGCATGATGCTGTTTTGGAGACAAACTGCGGCAGTGACAGGTTGAATCCAGGTCGTAAGCAACTATCGACGGTCCCGGAAATCATGCGGTCCTTTTGGTGCTGCGCATGCATGCGACTGATGGCTGACTTCACGTGTTAAGATCACCCAGTAGGCAATCTGAAAAAAACACGCTAGCGGTCTGCGAAATGCAGAAAACATTTACGTCTGTCCAGGGCATCGACGGAGCTCCTCCCCTTCACGGGTTCTTCTGTGTCCGATCCGGTATCTAGCTGGGGAGGGCTCGCTTCAAGGCCCGGAGGCTTGGCACCTTGAGCTCTACCAAGCCGATTTCTGCGTGGGTGTGAAGGAGCTGATATGCCTTGGCTTCCCGAAAATCACCCACAGCTGGAACTGGGTAGCATTGCATGCATGCCAGGTTGCCGGTACCAGCGCGCCACGTGTGGATACTGGTCAGAGGAGACGTTGCCAGGTGTTGCAGCCTCAGACACATGCCCAAGGAGTCTAGGACTGGTGGTCGACCCGGGCAAGATCCCAGCCAGCTGCGCCACATCCGCCTTGCAGGTTCAGGGCCATCCAGCGAAGCACAGAAGCATCTTGGCGATGCTCATGGATCGCAAACCTGAGAGGGCTTGTAGCCTCCGTCGAAGTAGCTCCTGACATCATGCAAGGACCCCTAAATACATTCACAAAGCAAGCAGCCCGAGCAAATGTCAGGCATGCAGGGTTGCGCCAAATTGCTGATCCATCGCAAGGAAGTCTGTGCCAGTATGGCGGAAAATTTGTGCAGCCGAGCTCGGTGTGTTTTACAGTCTGAGCTGCGGCCAAAAATCCTAGCCTTCGACTGTGCCGAATTACCTATGCTCTTGAAGACACCACCTGCTGCAGCCGCTTCCAAAGTGTCCTGGGCAAAGCAAGTGCTGCCAGAACCCCTTCAGTTCGCTTGTGGGGCTAACTTGAGGCTAAGCGACTGCTTTGGCTGGTCTGCGCCCACATTTCCCGGTAGATTTCCCTGCAACAAGCTCTCCGCTTGCTCTCGCCACGCATCAGCCTCAGGAGGCCAGAAAGCACTTCAGATCCAAGTCCGCAAATGTTTGAAGTTGCTTGTTGGTTGCTACAAGTAGTAGAGAAACAAGGAATGTATCCCTGGCCCCTGCATAACTCCTGACAAACAGTGTGTCCATTTTCTCCTCGCATCCTTCATTCCTTACTGACAACACATGTCCTCTCAGGCTCCGGCCAGAGACCAGGCTACCTTGCACGCTGCAAGACCATTCTACAATCCCCCAAGTAAGCGTAGTAAGGAGAGCCGCTTGCCCTGCAAGCGACTTAGGGCGACTTAGGGGGTACGCGTCCAGGCAGGTTTGGGTCCCGCCTGAAGCTACCGTGCTGAAGTGCGTAGGCAGGCGAGCAGGACGGAGGTGCATCAGTCACATCATTTTCCGAACCCTTCCCCATCCCGCTTCTCCCCAGCTTTACTGTACAGCCCTAGCTGATCAAAAAAATCGATCTCAGAAACTGAGCGAGAGTCTTGCCTATAGATGTGCTGAAAAAATGAAGGAAGGTATCCATTTCTGTGGCTGTATAGATGCCAGTTCCATTCCGTAAAACCATAAACGTGACCCTAGCATATCAAGTGCAGGCAGGTCACGTTGAGACGCATGGCCAGGCCACGAATGAGTAGCGTCATTCGGCAGAGGAGGACGAACCTTTGGGCTTGTGCTCTCTGGGGCTGTGCTTGCGGGCTTTGCAAGGACCATGTCCATGAAAGTCCATGTACCTTCCCTCATCCCCTACCTAGCACTGGATGGACAATGAGGATTTTCCGGTGTGCTCTGCCCGTTGCTGGCGTCCGGTCCAGTGTCCATCTGACTGTGTTTCTGAAAGCCTTACAGCTGAAGACAATGTCCCTCATGCGCTGTTGCCACCCTTCAGGAATTAAAGACGTTGCAAAAAGTACAAAGACGGCCGCGGATTTTGGAGGTCGTTTTGTTGTCTTCTGCGTGTCATTTCCAATCTTGCTGGTTAAGCTGAAGCTGCGTGTTAATTAGCGCCGTTTGTATTTGGCATTATGATGATGAACCCCTTATCCAAAACGAGTGCCCCCAGTGCTCTTCACTTATCTGCTTCCAGCCTCTCAATATCTGTCTGGCCTCCAAACTCCCGGCCTTTTCCTGGTCCGCCCTATACAGTGGTCAATGCCTCCAAGCTGCTCCCGCGGAAAGGATGCGACCTTTTGTGTTCGAAAAGCTAGAAGGTTTTTCGCAGTTGCTTTCCACTTTCCAAAAGCCGACACTTAATCTAATCACTTTTGGATAACAAGGCTGCAAACGGAAGGTGCTCTTCTGCGCATGGCTAAGTGCAGGGCATCTCGGACCGGGCAATTTGGTGATAATTCCTCAGGGTGCAGTGGGGGCCATCATAATCATTGCAAAGCCTGCAGGCTGCTGAGCGTCACTGTTTCTGAATTGCAGGCCAGATGCATTGGCCTCGTAGCCATCAGGCAGTTGCCGTCTGCTGCTATCAAACAACCACAAAGCCAGCGCACCTGCTCTTCAACAAATGACCATGAGTGTGGATGTCTTCCGACGATTCACTACGTGATACTACGTGCATCAAATGTTGGTCCTGCCGTTACTCTTGTGTGGTTTACCTGAAAGTGGCAACTGGAAAACTGAGCCGAGTGGTCCTGCACAGGATGGTCCGGCTGACGGCAAAAATTCGACTCCTGGACGGAAATGGGCTGACCATATTATGCATGCTGTGACTTCACCTTCCGAATGAAATTTGACCAAGCCACCCATGCTTTTGGCAAAGTCGCCCAGGGACTGAAGGTATGTTTTGGCATTCTCCGAGTCCTGCACAAGCTTGACACAAAAAATCAGGATCTGCCTCAACAGTGGGAAAAACAATCTGCACGGCTACCGTTCCAGTCCGGGTCCAAAGAATTGTAATGCGCCACCTTGACCATCAACTCAGCTACCTGAAAGGTCTATGCAAATGTGACCACCCTCTGGAAAATGCAGATCCCAATCAGGTCTCCATGTGAAACCGCTGAAACCTCTCCCGCATCCCGCCGCCAAGGTGCCTGCTTGCGGAACTTAAAATTTATCCTCGGGCTTGGTAGATTTACGCAAAAGAGCACCAAGCAACGACCAGAGCATGTTCTAAGCTACCAGGTGTCTGCTTCGTCTGGCCAAAGTCAATCAAAGCAATACTGCCGTCCGGCCTGCACGAAAAAGAGCCAGCAATACGCCCCCAGCGCTATCGGTATGGATATGCAGGTGCTCTTCCGATCTACATACTTACAGGCATGATAACCCATCTGCTGCAGACCCACTTTCAAGCATCATCAACCAACGGCACAGACCTTACCATCCCCGAACGAGGCTTCGCGACTCTGGGGATGGCTCTGAAAGAAAAGTCAACGTTGCCTGATGAAAATGTTACCAGGGTGTGGATCTGCGTGGAAGAAGCCCTCCTCAAAAACCATGACTCCGAAAGCTTCAGTGAGAGCAGAGAGGAGCTTCCGTCCAAAGACCTTGGCGGCAGAAAATCTGCGAATCAACGCAAAGCAACAAAGGGAGGGCTCCTGCCTGCTCGGCCAAAGAGCCAGGCTCAATCTCAATACCCCGTCTCTTCAGCTCTTCTCGAAGCTGTGACAGCGGAGCGCCGGGGATAAAGTCCATGCAGAGAACCCGTTTGGAGGTCAAGCCAGGGATGCTCCGGGGCACCTGAACTGGTGGGCGGCGGCGGTTTCTGGCCAAAGCATCTGCGATGCGATCCATCCCGTTGGCTTCTGCCATGAAATCAAACTCATCCTGAAGTTGTTCCTCCAGCTCACTGCACACCAAGTAATAATCTACTGGGAAGATTTCTCTGGTAATCAGGGAGAATTGCTTGATGACGCCGATGTCGCTCATCAGCCGTCGCTCAACGTTCGGTCGCTGCACTTTGACCGCAACCTCACGGCCGCCGCGGAGGCGTGCCCGGTGCACCTGTGCAATGGAGGCACTGCCCAGCGGTCGCTCATCGAAGCTCTCGAAGACCTCCGTCAAAGGCAGGCCACCCAACAACTCGTCTTCGACAACTTTTCGGATGACTGCGAAAGGCAAGGGATTCACCTCAACTGAGTCGCACTACGTGGCACTAAGGTCGGGCCGGTTCCAGCATACCCGTATCGTTGCATATTTCATCTTGTTTCTATGTCACGTCTGACATTTTGCCAAGACGCGGAGTCAATCATCGATGAGCACTGTCGCGAGTACTCTTGAGGGAACAAATCGCTCCGCGTGGCGATGATTTGACCCACTTTCCTGAGCTCACACGAGATGAGCGGGAAGGAGCACGGGAGAGAGGTAGCAGGGGACAGGATGGAGGGCAGGGGGAGGACAGCGAACAAAAGGGCGGAAACAACGAACGAGAGAAACTGGATTAGACAAATAGTTGTAGCAACAAATACTTGGAAAGCATAAGGAGTCGTAGGGCCATGGGCTAGACTAAGTCAATTTAGTCCGAAATTTTGTCTGGCTGCTGGGGTTTAACAGAAGTTGGTCATGAATCAACTGCCCATCAGGATTTGTCCAAGTCGAGAGGGATCGATTGAAATGGACTTGAGATGGAGATGTTTGCTGGTCCTTCTCCCGTTCACGTCAACGCGACAGTATGCGATACAGGACTTACCACCTGCCAAGAGTTCATGTAAGCAACTTTGTTGCATTATTCGAGCGGCACGTAGAAGCCCTTGAGCTCTGTTATAAGCCCCTCGATCTTCTTTGCACCCGCTTCATGCCTGGGCATGCAGGCATGTAATTCGTGCACTTGCCCCGTCCTGTTGCAGCTGAGCGACCTCTGTCTCCACTCCTTCTCGAGGGCACCTCAGACAGGATCAGTCGAGAGAGTCGTTAGCTTCTGTTGTATGTTTTCCAAACTTGGCGCCCTGCCATGTGCGCCATCTTGAGTCCAGGAGCTCTTCAAATAGACTGGGACATAACCTCGATATCGACATGCTTGCTAGCTTCAAGGTCCGCGATTCCGGCATGATTGCTGAAACTGCTGATGGCTCCTGCATAATCACCTTCAATTCAGGCATGGTACTCAAGAGCAGCCTTGGCTGTCACAGTAAAGACACAGAGCAAAAGCACAAATTGGAGCTCACATGCACTTTGGCCAAGAAACAAAGAGCACTGGGTGTAGTAGCCTGGAGCTGCTGACGGATGAATCTTCAGGCTTGGCAAAGGTCGCAGTATGCTGAGGCCACCGCGAGTAGCCCGAAGAAAGAGATCCAGGTCCGAGGGAGGCACAAACTCCATCTCGATCCTCGAACTGTCGAGGAATGAATTCTCGCAGCGCGCAATCGACAAGCTAAGAGGTCGAGCTGCTTTTCTGGCAGGTCACTTGGAGGGCTTCCATCGCACAAGTCTGTATTCACAAGCTCCAGCACTTCACCTGAACTAGCGGCTGCTTGCGCCCATATCCCTTCCACACTTCAGTACACTTTGCGAGGCCGGGCGTTCTTGCAGACGTGCCGCATTCATCAGGAGCAGCTGCAAGGCTTACGACCTCCACTGACCGCGTTGTTCTGGAGGCGCTGCCTGGCAAGCTTGATTATTTCTTAGGCATCCAGTGTCTAGGACTTTTTTAGGTTAACCTTTGC